CATGAAGGTTGACACAAGGAGTGCCTAGGACCCTAACATAGTTACTAGTATCCCTTATAGTCACTATTACAGGGTGGGGGGTCCTCCTAAGGAATAGCCTTCCTAAACCCTAAACCCTAAATAGCCTTCAAATCATCCTCACAGCTTCTGAGAGGAGCAATCGCTTGGAGGAGTCACCACAGGCTCTAACACTCCCCCAAACTAACATGGAAACCCATATAGCCACATTTTAGAGGGACTGTAGTCTTTATAGGGCCCTTTTTGGGTTTTCATGTTATTTTCCGGGAGTGTATGTTGAAAGGAGCAGGGCTCATCAGTTTCTCACTCTGCTCCCCCCCCCCTCCCCTCCCCGCCGCCCCAGACTGCCTTCATCACAGAAATAGGATTCAGGCCAGGTCTTGCAAGATAAGATCCTGGGTGTTTGCTAGGGAATTGCCTGTAGCGGGTTGTTATAATCAGTCTGTAGGAAAACTATCACAATTCATGACTTCGTTCGCTTAAGCCCGAAACCCCACACTGCTCCGAATGCTTTACATTGAAGGGCTTTCAAAGTTTTCAACATGATTTTGATAGACTCACGTCTACTGACCCCTATTGTCCCCTTACCATGCCTTGAGATCTTTGGGAAACGGAAGCTTCCAGTTCTGGGTGCTGGCAAAACTATTAGGTCCTAACCCGAAGCCTTACAGCCTGCAAGCCCAGAGGGACTTACACTTGAGTAGTGTTTTTGAATGCTAGAGTTCCCAATATATCATGAAATGGCATACTCTTGTTTTGGCATCCCAGGAGACGAATATTGTCTCACTTGTGTCAAGCACCACACGCTTCTTCTTTCATTGATCTATACCAGAACCTTTCCCGCTTACATTCACTAACCCCTAAACGCTGAACCCTAAACCCTAAACTCTTGAACAACTTCATGCTCTATCTACTTAAGGGGTGGTTGTAGTTGTGTTTGAGTTTGCCTCATTTGTTGTTTCTTCGTACTTCTTTTATTCTGTTGGTGGATTAGTTTTGTTGTCTTCTGACTGAGGATCCGCCTGTACTCCATTGCTTCCTCCGCTGTCGGCGATGATGAGACCTCCAAGACTGTCTCCCTGTGCGTGAAGCGCGTGGTTGAGGCCAGGCACCTCAAGAAAATTTGTTTGGGGCTTGGCCTAGAATTTAGGGTTTGGATTTATGGCGGATTGCTTTATTCTCCGTCTTAGGTTTATTAACATTTAGGGCTTAGGGTTCGGGTATGGTGTGGTCTATGGACATACTTCTACTTCGTTTTCAGGGGTGCCGATTGTGGCTTAAGGTTCAGGCTTTAAGGCTGCGGGCGTTGCATTTAGGGCGTCGGTCCCGGAGCTTGAAGCAACTCTCACTGCCTTACACTAGGGCTCATCCCCCAGCTGCATCTAGGATTTAGGTAAGGTCAGCCCCCTCTGCAGTAATAGCCCCTAAATATGGCCTTAATAGGGGTCCTTTGTGGTGCCTATCGCTGGGTAGGGGATTGACCCAGGATTCAGGATCTCTGAAAGCCATAACTCCAGGTGTCCTAGTTGCCAGTCATTCGTTTTTTTTTGCTTTACTAGAGGAATCAGTCCCCGTAGCTTCTTTTGTGCTTCTTTCTCAGGTCGATGGGAAGCATGTCAACCGCGAAGTTGGGGAGGACTTCTCGCGCAGCATGAGCACGAGGGTCCTTCTTTTTGGGGCTCGGGGTATGCAAAAGGGAACGGTATCCAAAGAGCCCCAAAGACTGCCAAAAGGGTTTGCGAGGCTTCGTAACTTTTGGATTAAGCCATATTGGTGCCCAGTGGTTCTGGTTACGAAGAACCTTCTTTCACATGACGAGGGCCGGGGCACACATCATAAACGGACTTTACTGGGAACGCCGAACAGGGAACCCCAGAATATAGTAGGAATATGAAAGGAATATACCTACCAGGGTCCTTACATTCCGTGTACACTCCCACGATATTCTTGGTGTTCCCATTGAAGTCCTCAGCATTTGGGGTGAAACAGCATGGAGCACCACCTCCCCTGCGTAGCAGCAAAGATTTCCAGCAGCCAGCTTTCCCTAGAGATCCAAATAGACCAATGTAGGTGATAATTACAGACGTGAGGGCCCAATGTTGGTATTATTCGTACATTTGGATCCCTAGGGCTTGGGAAAGGTACATGCTAGGAGGTGTGGCTTTGTGGGCTCGTACACAGACGAGGATTCTTGGAATCATGGACTTTGCTATGATCTGTCCTGGTGTAAAGTGTAAAGTTTACGCGATTGGGGCTGGGGGTGGTGATCGGGCTTCTGAGCCTTGCGCTGCTTCGGCCATGCAAAACCCCCCAAATGCTTATATTCCCCCTGGAGTAGATGGAATATGGGAGATATGGGGTCCTTATCATAACATACCCAAAGCCACGTTCTATCTACTTAAGGGGGACTATAAGCCCTTAACCTCTAAACCCTAAACCTTAAGTAGTAGTTTCCATTTTCCTTTCCACTATCCCATTATAACCCTAATAATCCTTAGACCACCCTCCTCAGGACAAGCCAGACAAGGCCGGCACTGCCTTCCCCGACAACAAGGCGGGTCCAGCATAGGACCCAGGGAGCTCGATACTTAGGGTTTAGGGACCCCACATTCTATCTACTTAAGGGGGATTATAACCCTAAACCTTAAACCCTAAATACCCTGAACCCTAAACCCTAAATACCCTAAATACCTTAAATACCCTAAATACCCTAAACACTAAACCCTAAACCCTAAACTTAAAGGGTTGAGGGGTAGGGACTCTCATGCCTAGGCTCTCTAAAGGATCCCCAAAATGGAGCCCCCCCCACTATGAACCCATTACTTTCTTGGGGAAACTAGGGGATTACTAGGGCGTTCCATTTTTTGGAGCCTTCAGGGGGTCTGGGTAGGGATGTATAGGGCGGAATTGGAGACACATAGGTTGTAGGGGTTGAAATAAGCGCCAATAATGGCAAAGCATGTCAAAAAGAGAATTGTTCGGCAATGATATTGGTTAGGTCATTCCCCTTACAGTAACAGTTGCCACAACAGCGCAACAGGAGTTGTACTAGCCCCTTTACCAGACCTCTTTAAGGACAGGTATTGTGAGAGGGGATGGCAAATGGCCCAAGATAACCCTAACTCTAAACCCTAAATCCTAACCTGCAGATAGTTAGGGTTTGCTTGGTACACTTCACGCACAAATCGAGAAGTGCACCAACCAAACCCTAACCTTTGTTGGAGCTCTTTGCCTCCTGCTTCCAAGGCTGCAGACCTATGCTTGAAGTTGGATGTTTTCAGAAACAAGAGGTCCCTTCTTGGGTACTTAGGAATAGGATTTTGGAGTATGTTTGGCATATGCCCCATGGCCACCCTGAACCCTAAACCCATAATACCCCGATTTATGGAAACTCCCCGTAGGCTGGGATCAAACAATGTGCACAAGCAAGGTTTAGGCTTTTTGTTTGACAAACTACTTACCCCAAACAAGATTGGAAGCTGATATGGTCAACTTTTGAGCTTTCGTAAGTCTGTTGTGGGCTCTAAACCCTAAACTCTAAACTGCATTCGTCGAGACGCTGTAGGTCTACCGTGGCGTGTGCTCCAACCACATTTGCGACTTGAGCGTGGGCGATGATGCTGCCCGGCATATTAGGGTTTAGGGTTTAGGGTATGGTCCTGGGTTTAGGGTTTAGGGTCCTAGAGGTCCCAAGAACAAGGGGATTAGAGTTGAGGGTTTCGGGTATTTAGGAATTAGGTAGTGTTTTAGGGGAATATTCTTGGATTACCATAGGGACCGGTGCCCTTTCACCTAAGTTAGGGATGCACCTGATATACAAGGGATCTTGGTTTGATTTAGGGCCTATTCGCTGGTTGACCTTAATCCTCGGCGGCTTGACGGTACATAATCCAGTGCCTAGGGACTCAACCCAATGTCATGGCTTGTGCTGAGGCTAGGGCTAATCCTAATCACCCCCTTTATACAAAAGCCCGGGCATGTCTCCGAATTAAGCTTGATTCGCCTTGGTTACTCTAGATGAGCGAAACGAGAGGGTTATGGAATCCCAATTTGAATTTGGGTCCCTGCAAGTAGGTTCTTAGTGGACATCTGGAGGGCTCGAGGCAAACTACGAGGGTTTAGGGTTTGGGGACCAAAGTCTTCAACACGTCGTTCGAGGCTCAGCCTTCATCTGCTATGAACCGAAAGTCCTCACCCTTCTTCCTTGTCTAGTAAGGAGCACCTCGTCACCTCAGACCAGTAGGGAATATGGGAGTATGAGAATATATTACATAGGGTTCATATAGGGATTATATTCTTTTTTCCCTACTCAGAAATGCTAAGTTACATGTTCATGAGCTCGGCCAGGTAGGGTGATTGAATCACCCTTCAACGATCCATTTGCTCTTATATTGAAATCGTCGTCTGGACTGGTGATGCTATTGCTGGTGCCCTTCGTATGTTTTCTTACTGCTTGAACGGCGGTAGTTACAGACGTTCGTGCGGTTGATATGTTGGATGAAGAATAATCTTGCATCACCCTTTCTAGCGCCAATAGTTGTGATTTCCAGTTTCTGTGATGGAATCGCAGGCGTAGCAGCACTTGAGGTGATGATCACCGGCCCAACGGGAGCTGAGATGCTACTCCCGGAGGCGCACATGGTTTGGGGTTAACGACGATGTGGATCGGGATGAAAGGGCTTACTTGGATCGTTCTATCAGAAAATCGAACTATGAATCAGGTACCGCCGCTAGTGTGGGGTATACGGAGGTCGCATGTGCGTTGCAGCGGTCTGCTAGGGTTGCAGGCTCAGTGGCCCCGCTACCTCAGCCCCTTGTGAGGCAAGTTTAAGGAGTGTTTATCCCCTATATATCCCCTCAAAGGGACATCCCATACTGGCTGTGTGAAATTCCGAGACGACCCTGCGCATGTTGGTGCAGGATCCCGAGGCCAACATTGTGATGCTGGCGACAGGCTGCGTAGCTCAGGGTGTTGGGCTTTAGGGCTTTGGTTGCGAGTAGACAGAAAAAGTGAGAGTTTGCCAGGGCATGTCGTAACTATCCCGATTGCTTGATTTCAGTGACGCAAAAGCAGAAACTAATCACAGAAGTCTCCCTCGAATGATTTTAGATTCTAGCTTTGTGCCAGAGCTGGGGCCAGTATTCATCAGTGGAGTTGGGGGTTTTCATGTTACAATCCCCCGGTTCGAGGTTCAGTGTCTATATAACCCAATTGTAACTGTACCTGGTAGCTTCCTGAAATAGGGGGACCCCAATGTAGACCCCAAAATACCATGGTCCTTATTATAGGGACCCCCAAAAAGTACTCGTAATTTTGGGAAACCCTAAACCTTACATATCCCTATATAACCCTATATTCCCCTATATCTATAGAACTAACCCCTATAGAACCCCCTTTTTAAAGGGTACCCCTAATTTTGGGAATATCCCCATTTTGGGACGAATTACGCCTGAGCTACCATCCCAAGGCTCCCGGCTTTTAGGGTTTAGGGGTTTAGGGTTTAGGGGTTAAGGGTTTAGGGGTTTAGGGTGTAGGGGTGTAGGGTGTAGGGTTTGAGCTGTACACCCTATAGTCCCCCTTAAGTGGATAGAATATTGCTTTGAGTATATTAAATAAGATCCCCATATACCCCATATTCTATCTACTTAAGGAGACTATAAACCCCAAACACACAAACCTCTTCCGAGTGCATTTTTCGTTTAGGATCTCGAGGTCTGCACAGAGAGGTTTCTTACAGGGGCTATCAAGTGTGTAATCGCTTTCGGGTGCCCGTTATCATACGGCCCATTTTACGTACAGTACCCCCAAATTCTCCCGAAATGAACCAATTTCACATCTTGTTGCAGGGACTGGCATTGCCCCGATGCGAGCGTACTGCCGGTACCTCTTCAACGACAAGGCGCCCGGCTGTCCTCTCAGGCAAATGCAGGTGGTTTTACGCGAGGGGGATCCGCATATTGTACACTTGTATTGTAAGCCATAGACTCTGTCTGAGGTCTTCCAACTCGAGTCTCAGGTGGGGATTAGATGGGAGGTTTTCAACATAAACCCTCCAACCCTAAACCCTCAACCCTAAACAGTAGTTTCCTTTTTCCAGTTCCCAATATAAACCTATGTGATATCCACATTTTATAAGTGACCCCCCAATCCATCTTGGTAAGATTGCTCCTCAGATGAGCTATTGTCTGAACTCCTAGTGTCCCCCTTAATTAATAACCCCTATAGTAGTCCCCAATATAATGTCCTATATAACCCCCTTTAAGGAGTTTAGGTTGTAGTTCAGATGAAGAGATCAGCGAGCTACTCGTGCAAGGTGGCGGCTGAGGGTGATGGCCGCAAGTTCAAGGGCCTGGCTTGGCTCTTCATGGGTGTGCCTGGGATTTACCTACTATATGAGCTATAGTCTAAACTCCTTAAAGGGGGGTTATATAGGGGATTACTATAGGGGATTACTATAGGGGTTATTAAGGGGGATACTAGGAGTTTAGACAATGGCTCATATAATGGAAAATGAAATGGAAACCTCTTTAGTAGATTGGGGTTGTATAGGGATAATGGAAAATCAGGGTTCAGGGTTTAGGGTTTAGGGTTTAGGGCCTACGTCTGCAATCCACTGTTTTCCAGAGCTTAACCTGGAATGTCGGAAGCTCGCTATTGGTTTAACTACCGCTTGTTAGTGGCGTTGGTGTTGCCCAGAGCGAGGTGAGTAGTATTTAATTTGGGGATACTATGATACCCATTATGGAGTAAGATTATATCCTCCTTTTTGGGTATAGCATTTTATATAAGGAACATAATCTTACTAGGTTCAACCATCAAAAAACGCTACCCAGGTGCCTTACAGCAAGTCCTTGCTGTATGACGATGAGCATCAGGACCCCTCTGCAGTTCGGTCGAGTCACTTGGGTTCGGTTTCAATGCTTGTTTTCAGGCTAGCTGTTCTAAAGACTCCGAAAACGCCGCACAATGGGAGTGCGTTATCTTTTGTAGCTACTATGAACGGCTGGAGGCCTGACTTGTTCTCAACTCATCATGGTTCTTTGAGTTTTCGGGCCCCTCGGAATGTGCGTTTCTGTACACTGGGTTTACGTAGTGTTTACCTTGAATCCTGAACACCGGGCCATAAGGACTTAAAGAATGCAGCAGGTCACCAGATCTCGCCACCCCTAAGCTCTCAGCCGGTTGGTTGCAGAGGAGTATGTTGTTGGTAGGGATTGTGGGAATGTAATCCGTATAAAACTCCTATACAATTCATTCCCTTATTCCCTACTAAGAACCAGTACGTGAATTTGGGGAGGAGTACATCTCCAAGTATCCGGACCAGTTCCGCTACGACTATGCCATTAGCCGTGAACAGAAGAATGCCGCGGGCCAGAAGATGTACATCCAGACGAAGATGGCAGAGCAGCTTGCTATGTAACAAGAGCGGGTGAGATTGGGGTTTTAGAGTTTGGAAGATGCAAAAATGCACAATGCTTGCTGACTGGAGAAGAGTGATTGTAGCAGTAGCACACGCGACAGCCTGCCACCCTCTTTCGCTGCTGCTAGTGATAGTAAACAACGACTCCATCACCATGGCTGCCTCTTCCGCCACCCATTGCTGCCCCTCACCGCCGGCTGAAGTTAGGAAGCGTTGCTTAGGCACAGTGGCGTGCAAGCTGAGGTACGCCGAGGAGCTGTGGGAGCTTATGCAGGACGAGAAGACCCACATCTACATGTGCCTGGTTTAGCTTTGTAGGGCTGAGGGAACATCCTCCAGACAAAGCAAGGGCCGCCTGCCTCATCAGTCGCCATGCAGAGCCGCTGAAATCATTGATCCGTACATACATCCCTGGATGCCAGCTAGCTCGACCCCCACCCTTACAAGGGTGATGCGGAGAGACTGCTTTCAATCATCAATGCGCCATCTTGTGGCAAAGGCAGTCAGACTTGTCAGCCCCACCCTGAGCATGACTTTGGAGTCAGGAAGAGAGTGTGGATTTTTTGGAATACATCGAGGCGTAATTTGAGTAGTATTTTATTTGGGGCTACTGTGGTACCCAATATAGATTGTCTCCTCCTTTCGGGGTGTAGTATCTTATACAAGGAATATAATCTTACTAGGTTCAACCACCAAAAAGCACTACTCATTTGGGGACCACAATGGGAATTCACGCCCTCACTCCTGCTTCAGCAACTGCAGGATGAACCTTCCCAAGACCCGAAGCTCTAAATCCCAAACTCCTACACTGGGCAGGCCCCTAGGATATTTAATGTTTTCCATAATGGCTTTAATAGGGGACCCTATATACATATAATTTGTTTTTTCAAATGGTTTTAGGGGCCAACCCAGTACACCCTAAACCCTCAATCTCCAACCATCAACCTTGAGCCCTTCGCCCTATAGCCGCCCTTACGTAGATAGAATATGGGGTATTTGGGGATCTTATTATAATATACCATGGGCCATATTCTATCTACTTACGCGTCACCCTCAACTCTAAACACTAAACCCTAAATAGTAGTTTCCATTTCTTTTCCATTATCCTTAAATATACCCCCCAATAATATTCCCTAATATTCTATCTATTTAACGGGGCCTATAACCCCAATATACACCCTTCTCTAAAATGATAGTTTCCATTTTCTTTGCCATTATCGCTATATAACCCCAATATAACCCCCCTAATATTCTATTTACTTGAGGGGGACTATAACTCCAATATATACCCTAGTATAGTATAGTAGTTTCCATTTTCTTTCCCATTACCCCTATATAACCTTAATAATATACCCTATACCTACTTAAGGGGGAATGTAACTCCAATATATACCCTATTATAATATAGTGGTTTCCATTTTCTTTTCCATTATCCCTATATAGTCCCAAAAATGTACCCCATATTCTATCTACTTATGGACTATAACCCTAAACCCTAAACCCTAAATAGTAGTTCCCATCTTCTTTTCCATTATCCCAATAGAACCCCAACCCCTAAACCCCAAAACCCCTAAAACCCCTAATTCTATTTACTTGAGGGGGACTATCCTCCTTAAACGGGCAGAGGTGCGGGCTCAAGGGTATGGAGTCCGGCATGGCCGAGTGCTTCGGACCCATCGCTGAGAAGTACGGCAAGGCCGCCGGGTTTTGGGTTTAGGGCTTAGGGTTTTGGGGGTTTTGGGGTTCAGAGCTTAGGGTTCAAGGTGTTTGCCAACAGGGTGCAGGGTGTAAGTTTTGCGTGGAGGCCGTGAGGCATTCTAGGTGGGACGACAGTTGATCTGTGCTTCACAAGTCGCAGCACTTCTACCCCATCAGTTCTTGCATAGTTCTTAGATGGGTTTCGAGGTTTGGGTCGAGGTGGAGGTTCGCAGAATTTTCGTATTCGGGGTTATGGCAAACGTCTTGCCACGCCATTCTCATATCCCCCTCGCGCCTTGCCACACTCCTGGAGGGCTGATTCTAAGTGGCAATTCAGCCTTTGCTGTCATCGAAGAGACTTTTGGGATACCTTCTTGAGAGCGTCGGGGGGAATTTTGACCAAATCCCAGCGTTGATCAACGGCGCCGCAAAAGATCCTGTGAAGGACTGGGCGGAGTTCGCCAAGGCCATGAAGATGCTCGGTCCTGTTGGATAGCACTTTAACAACGAGTCCAGAAAACCAGCAAACAATTTGGAAGTTGAACAACGGTTGTTTGATTTGCGCATCCATTCCACATGGTGTTCAATGTAATACTGATAACAACACTAGAACAACGGTAACAGTAAGAATGGTAAGAATGTCAATACTAAGAGTAATCGTATAGTAATTTCCAACCCCTGCGATGGCTGAGGAAAGCGGACCGTTACCACGTCGAGGTGTATTAAGGCTACTCCGTGTCACTGCCTCCGACGCCTGCAAAAGCTTCACAAGGTATGCTTTCTACACATCAAAATATAGGGGACCCCAAGGTACCATAATCCTTATTATCGTGAACCCCAAGTGGTACCCATGATTTTGGACAACCCCCGTATTTTCGGGCTGAGTGAAGGCTTCAATGGTTCTATGAGTCTATGAGTGCGGGCGCGTGGCTTCTTCGAGGCCATGTCTGGGGTTGCGGAAGGTTTTGGCTACAATAGTCCCCCTTAAGGGGTTTATATAGGGAGAATGGAAAAGAACATGGAAACTACTATATTAGCGAACACATTGGGTTTATAGTCCCCGTTAATAAGTAGATAGAATATGGAATCGCATAATATCATAGTAAGATCCCCATATACCCCATATTCTACTTGCTCAACAGGGATCATGAGTGTCTAGGGCGCAGGTGATGGTTGACCCTAAACCCTAGACCCTAGCGTTAAGTCCACGCCTTTCTTGGACAAGCTCTGATGCGCATGTCGGGCTCCCTGCATTATCTATTTCTTGCTCTGTAACCCCCGAAAGTGACCAACAACTCTGAGGCTTCATGTGAGCTTTATTTAGCCTAAACTCGAAGCATCCCCTCAGTAAGCAATATACACATATATATATATATTATTATTACTCCGCTAATCCCCTGTAGCACCTTCAAGGAGTTTAGATCATTGGAGACCCTGAGCCCCGAACCCGATTCGATTTCAAAGGGGGAAGGGCCTAAAGCCTCAACCCTCAACCCTAAACCCTTAGCAGTTTCTATTTTCTTCCCCATTATTCCAGGACCATGGCCAGGGTGTCCGCAGGTTTAGGATTTAGGGTTTAGGGCTTAGAAGTTTAGGGATTAGGGTAAGAATGGACAAGCATATGGAAGAGAACATGGACAATGAAATGACAACTAGGATGATAAAGGGTTAACGGTTAAGAACACAGCGCCTACGCTATAAGCAGGTTATAAGCTATATCCTCTAAAGTTACCGTGGCAGATAACGCGCTTCTTTTGCATATTGTGCCCTACCTAGCATCAATGTTATGTGGGCACAATGCTGGGACTTCATACTATGAGTTGCTCATTGGCGCATACTTCCATCAAATCCTCGAGGCTCCATCCAGTTCTACAATTTAGGAGCATGTAGGAAGTGCACGAGGCTGTCGTGGTGCAGGGATGATGAAGCTTAATACCATAAATCTCAATGAACCCTAGCCCCTACACCCTAACCCAGGGAGCGCAGGTGGATGAAGGCCCATTTCTCCGCAGCAGATGCTTTCACTCCTCAGGCCATGGGGAAGTGATTGCAACTGCCGCCGCTCCAACGGCCAGTCTTGGAGCCTGTCTACTCATGATTGTTCCATGTAAATCCTATGTAATCTGGGTTGCTGTTAACTTAAGAACAATTCACTATAATGAGGAAACCCGATTGATTTACGATACACCCGTCTTATTGTAATTCCACTTAAGTTCTTTAACAGCAATCCAGTAATGTCTCCGGCCGGATGCCATCTGAGGCGTTGCATACAGATGCAAGATAGCAGTCTGAAGATGGGGTAGTGACCTTCCTTCATTCCCCCTTTCCGTGTAGCCAAACCCGAAGATGACCTAAGGGACTCTGTAGAGTTTGGGGTTCAATGCAGATGATGCAGCCCCCCTC